AAGCGGTCCCTGGTCAAAGTGGTCCCTGGTCAAAATGGTCCCTGGTCAAGCGGTCCCTGGTCAAAGTGGTCCTTAGTCAAATAGGTTCCTGGTCAAGTGGTCCCTGGTCAAAGTGGTCCTTAGTCAAACAGGTTCCTGGTCAAGTGGTTCCTGATCAAAGTGGTCCCTGGTCAAAGTGGTCCCTGGTAAAGTGGTTCCTGGTCAAAATGGTCCCTGGTCGAAGTGGTCCTTGGTCAAAGTGGTCCCTGGTCAAGTGGTCCTTGGTCAAGTGGTCCTTGGTCAAAGTGGTCCCTGGTCAAGTGATCCCTGGTAAAGTGGTTCTGGTCAAGTGGTCCCTGGTCAAAGTGGTCCTGGTCAAAGTGGTCTGGTCAAGTGGTCCTGGTCAAGTGGTCCCTGGTCAAAGTGGTCCCTAGTCAAGTGGTCCCTGGTCAAAGTGGTCCCTGGTCAAAGCGGTCCCTGGTCAAAGTGGTCCCTGGTCAAAGTGGTCCCTGGTCAAAGTGGTGCCTGGTCAAAGTGGTCCTTGGTCAAAGTGGTCCCTGGTCAAAGTGGTTTTTGGTCAAAGTGGTCCCTGGTCAAGCAGTCCATGGTCAAAGTGGTCCCTGGTCAAAGTGGTCCTTGGTCAAAATGGTCCCTGGTCAAGCAGTCCCTGATCAAAGTGGTTGGTCAAAGTGGTCCCTGGTCAAAGTGGTCCTTGGTCAAAGTGGTCTGGTCAAAGTGGTCCTTGTCAAAGTGGTCCCTGGTCAAGCAGTCCATGGTCAAAGTGGTCCCTGGTCAAAGTGGTCTTTGGTCAAAATGGTCCCTGGTCAAGCAGTCCCTGGTCAAGCGGTCCATGGTCAAAGTGGTCCCTGATCAAACTGGTCCTTGGGCAATATGGTTCCTGGTCAAGCAGTCCCTGGTCAAGTGGTCTATGGTCAAAGTGGTCCCTGGTCAAAGTGGTCTTTGGTCAAAGTGGTCCCTGGTCAAGCAGTCCCCGGTCAAGCGGTCCATGGTCAAAGCGATCCCTGGTCAAAGTGGTCCTTGGTCAAAGTGGTCCCTGGTCAAACTGGTCCTTGCGCAATATGGTTCCTGGTCAAGCAGTCCCTGGTCAAGCAGTCCATGGTCAGAATGGTCCCTGGTCAAGTGGTCCATGGTCAAAGTGGTCCCTGGTCAAAGTGGTCCTTGGTCAAAGTGGTCTCTGGTCAAGTGGTCCCTGGTCAAAGTAGTCCCTGGTCAAGAAAAGGTTGGGAACCACTGATTTAGGGGAAGGAAGGCTCCCCCATTTTTTCTTGTACTTTTCTACTTTTGTTAAGACCCGCTATCATCATTCTTCCTCATGACCACTCTAAGCATGAAATGGAAAAACAGATCTTTGAGTGACAGTCCTGGTCTTCTTGCACTTTTTTCTCAGCCTGTTGTCTGCAGAGCCTTTCTTATCAACGTTTCCTCCTTCCTCGTATCGCAACATCATGATTATTTGATATTATTCCATATCTAAGTAGCAGAGACTTATCGACTGCCTCTCATCAGGTATCTTTAGATTCTGAAGGAAACAGAAGTTAATTGCGATACGTATGGAGAATTTCCTGGTTTCAAGATTTCTATTTTAACCCCTTCCATTGCACTCTCACTCCAACAGTACATATGCCGTATATACTCAAGTATAAGCCGACCTAAATATAAGCCAAGACAATGACTCGAGTTTAAGCCGAGGGTGGAAAATGCAGCAGATACTGGTAAATTTCAAAATAAAAATAGATAGCAATACAGTTACATTAATTGAGGCATCAGTAGGTGAAATGTTTTTGAATATTTACATAAAATTTTAATTTAAATTAAGACTGTCCAACTCTGATTAAATAATTATTCTAACCTTCAATGCAAATGTGCTTACGTATCCTTCCAAGAATAATAAAGTAATAAAATTAATAAATAATAATAGAGTAAAATAATAAATGTAATAATAACAGTAATAAATAGAGTAAAATAATAAATGTAACAATAACAATAATAAATAGAGTAAAATAATAACTGTAATAAAAATAAAGTGAAATAATAAATATAATAATAGAGTAAAATGATGAATGTAATAATAGTAGTAATAATAATAATAAAGAATAAAATAATAATGTAATGTTTTTGTTGTTTCAGGAGTGTCTTGAGAAACTGCAAGTCGCTTTTAGTGTAAAAGAATTGGCCATCTGCAAGGACGTTGCCCAGGGATGTCTTGATGTTTTACCACCTTTGTGTGAGGCTTCTCTCATGTCTCCGCATGGAGAGCTGGAGTTGATAGAGGGAGCTCATCCACACTCGCCCTAGATTCGAACCCACGACCTATCGGTTTTCAGTCCTGCTGGCACAGTACTACTGTGCCACCACATAATAATAATAATAATAATAATAATAATAATAATAATAATAATAGTGTAATAATATCTAATAATAATAATATAATTTTGTAACAACAACAATAATAACAGAGCAAAATAATAAATAACCTTGACTCGAGTATAAGCCGAGTGGGCCTTTTGTTAGCCTAAAAAGAGGGCTGAAAAACTAGGCTTATACTTGCGTATATAGAGTAATGGTAAAAAAACCAGTTTAACTGTGTCAGAGTAAAAGTGTCCTAGGACATGGAGCAATGGATTCGAATTGGAGGTGGGGAAAAGGTTCCACTAAACATTAGGAAGAACTTCTTGACAGTGGAACAACAGTGGAATATAGAGTCCAGTGGAGTCCAGTGGAGTCTCCTCTGGATGGCCATTTGTTGGGAGAGCTTTGATTGTGTGTTCCTGCATGTTAGGGGGTTGGACTGGATGGCCCTTGAGGTCTCTTCCAGCCCTAGGACTTTATGGTTCTATAATCTGCAGGGCAAAACCACTTTCTTCAATATTGCTTTCAAACTGACCTTATTGTTCGTTGTAGACATACCTCCAAATGCTTGTCTCCTTTGAGCTATGGAGCTTATGGTGCATCTACACCAGGGGCAGCTCAACCCATTACGCAAAGTAAGCATTTGCAGTATAGTTGATTTTGCCCAGGGACGCTCTTGAGGCACTCTTGGGGGAAAATAGACCTTGACATATGCGAGTTGTAGTTACTGGGATGTATAGTTCACCTACAATCAAAGAGCATGCTGAACTCCACCAATGATGGAATTGAACCAAATATGGCACACAGAACTCCCACGACGAACAGAAAATATATATCAGTGATTGCTTGGTGAGGGGGTGGGGGGGCAAAATACTGTTTGCTTACTGTTGAAAATTGCCTAGGGCCGCCTCTGATCTACACCAGGTATGGGCAAACTTGAACCCTCCAGGTGCTTTGGACTCCAACTCCCAAAATTCCTAAGAGCCTCAAGCCCTTTCCTTTCCCTCCTCAGCCATTTGTGGAAGCTGGAGTCCAAAACACGTGGAGTGCCCTAGTTTACCCATGCCTGATCTACACTAAGGATTTAATGCAGTTTGACACCACTTTAATTGCAATGGCTCAATTAGATGGAATTTCAATGAGATGGAATTATATGTTGCCTGACCAAATGGCTGGATGGCTCTTTCTCAGGAGGGCTTTAATTACGTTTTCTTGCCTTGGTAAAGGGAGTTGGACTGAATGGCCTTAAGTATTTTCTGTTGGTCATGGGGGTTCTGTGTGGGAAGTTTGTCCCAATTCTGTCATTTGTGGGATTCAGAATGCTCTTTGATTGTAGGTGAACTATAAATCCCAGTAACTACAAATCCCAAATATCAAGGTCTATTTCCCCCAAACTCCATCTGTGTTCATATTTGGGCATATGGAATATTCGTGCCAAGTTTGGTCCAGATCCATCATTGTTTGAGTCCACAGTGCTCTCTGGATGTAGGTGAACTACAACTCTCAAACTCAAGGTCAATGCCCACCAAACACTGCTAGTATTTTCTGTTGGTCATGGGAGTCCTGTGTGCCAAGTTTGGTTCAATTCCATCGTTGGTGGAGTTCAGAATGCTCTTTGATTATAGGTGAACTATAAATCCCAGCAACTACAACTCCCAAATGACAAAATCACTTTTTTGAGTGAAGGACATACATTGGGTTGTTAGGTATATGCTGTCCAAATTTGGTGTCAATTGGCCCACTGGTTTTTGAGTTCTGCGAATACCACAAACGAACATTACATTTTTATTTATATAGATTGTAGCCTACTTTTCTCTCTTGATGAAGACCCAAATCAGGTCACAGTGTTAAAAACAATACACCTTTACACTTACCTAAACAAAAAAAAGGCCCCGAGAACCCACTAATTTGCCTTATTTCAATATTAGGAAGGAAGATCCTGTTACAGGTGGATTAATTAAGTGAAGTTGGCAATTAGTACTGAGTCTGCAAGATAATGAGCAGGGTTGTTAGCAAAGGGATACTCAGAAATCTCTCATGCATAGGAACTCTTTTTTTTTATCGTGTCCCGAGAAACTGCAAGTCGCTTCTGTTGCGAGAGAATTGGCAGTCTGCAAAAACGTTGCCCAGGATTCCCAGTGGCACAGTGGGTAAGCGCTGAGCTACTGAACTTGCTGATTGAAAGATCACCGGTTCGAATCTGGGGAGCGGGGGTGAGCTCCCACTGTTAGCCCCAGCTTCTGCCAACCTAGCAGTTTGAAAACGTGAAAACGTGAGATCAATAGTTACGACTTGGGCAGGAAGGTAATCGGGCATTTGGACAACGTGGCCAGTTCAGTGACGTAGGAGCATCACATCTGAGAACCATTCAATTGACTGACAACCCATTCAATTCTATATGTCCCCAAACTTAGCCCAATGCATGTCAGACCATCTTTTCCCTATCATGTGAATGTTTTGCTCCAAAATAGTTGGCACTCTCCTCCTTCTAGGCAGGTAGTGGTACACGACTTGCATCCTGTTTCCCATTGCAATGAAAGGATGAATGGGGCCTCCAATTTCCTAGACTTCAAAGGAATCCTAGACACGCTGAAAAAAAGAGAAGCAAAACGAGGGAGGAGCCATCAAAACCAATTTCCTAACATCCTGCTGATGGAAAGTCTGACAAGCGTGGCAGATAAAAAGGGTATAAAAAGGCGGTGGGATGGAGGGGCAAAAGCAAAAGCAAAGCGGCCAGTGCTGAAGACAGTACTATAGGTCTATAGACAGCAACAACATCTATAGCAAGATCTATAGACATCAGGAGCATCTGCAGCAAGACCTATAGACAGCGGCAACATGGACCCCGAGGAATACAGACAGAGAGGTGAGTAGATGGATGGGTTTTGAGGGAAAGTGCATGTTTTGCTGGAGTCCCCGCTGAGCTTTGCGTGTCCTACGCTCCGGTGGCATCTCGAAATGAGCAAGTCCAGAGAACCATTCCTGAACTGGGTTGATTATATGAATCTACACTGCCATACAGTCAGATTTATTTATTACTAGCCGTCCTCTGCTATGAGTTGCTGTGGCCCACATGGGGGTTCTGTGTGGGAGGTTTGGCCCAATTCTATCGTTGGTGGGGTTCAGAATGCTCTGTGATTGTAGGTGAACTATAAATCCCAGCAACTACAACTCCCAAATGGCAAGATTCTATTTTCCCCAAACTCCACCAGTGTTCACATTTGGGCATATTGAGTACTCATGTAGAGTTTGGTCCAGATCCATCATTGTTTGAGTCCACAGTGATCTCTGGATGTAGGTGAACTACAACTCCAAAACCAAAGGACACTGCCCACCAAACCCTTCCAGTATTTTCTGTTGGTCATGGGAGAACTGTGTGCCAAGTTTGATTCAATTCCATCGTTGGTGGGGTTCAGAATGCTCTTTGATTGTAGGTGAACTATAAATCCCAGCAACTACAACTCCCAAATGTCAAGATTCTCTTTTCCCCAAACTCCACCAGTGTTCACATTTGGGCATATTGAGTATTTGTGCCAAGTTTGGTCCAGATCCATCATTGTTTAGGTCCACAGTGCTCTCTGGATGAGGGGAACTACAACTCCAAAACTCAAGGTCAATGTCCACCAAACCCTTCCAGTATTTCTGTTGGTCATGGGACTGTGTGCCAAGTTTGGTTCAATTCCCCATTGTTGGTGTTCAGAATGGCTCTTTGATTGTAGGTGAACTATAAATCCCAGCAACTACAACTCTCAAATGTCAAGATTCTATTTCCCCCAAACTCCACCAGTTGTTCACATTTGGGCATATTGAGTATTGTGAAGTTGGTCCAGATCCATCATGTTTGAGTCCACAGTGTTCTCTGGATGTGGGTGAACTACAACTCCAAAACCAAAGGCCCACCACCTTCCAGTATTTTCTGTTGGTCATGGGAAGTTCTGTGTGCCAAGTTTGGTTCAATTCCATCGTTGGTGGGGTTCAGAATACTCTTTGATTATAGGTGAACTATAAATCCCAGCAACTACAACTCCCAAATGATAAAATCAATTTTTTGAGTGAAGGACATACATGGGGTTGTTAGGTGTCTTGTGTCCAAATTTGGTGTCAATTTGTCCAGTACTTTTTGAGTTCTGTTAATCCCACAAACAAACATTACATTTTTATTTATATAGATTAGCGACATTTATATGCCCTTCTCACTCCGAAGGGGACTCAGAGCAGCTTACAGATATGATAACATACAATATATTATATTACTAGCATAGCACAATATCAGTATTATATATTACTACATTGTACTATGCCATTGTACTGTAATATTATTAGTACTATTACATATAATATAAAATATATAATTATAATACCGTATTATTATTATGTTGTATTACATTATAATATTATAAATATTAGATGTATATTATATTATACTATATTATATTATATTATATTATATTATTAGCATAACAGGAGACAAGATGAAACTGTTTTCCTGGGCACAATTCAAAGAGCTGGTTTTAACCTTTAAAGCCCTAAATGGTTCTGGCCCAAACTACCTGTCTGAACGTGTCTCCTGTTACGAACCATCACGAAGTTTAAGATCTTCAGGAGAGGCCCTGCTCTCGGCCCCACCACCGTCGCAAACATGGTTGGTGGGGGCGAGAAACAGGACCTTCTCGGCAGTGGCCCCCCCGTCTATGGAACTATCTCCCCAAGGACATCAGGCTGGCCACCTCCCTCCTGTTCTTTAGGAGAAAACTGAAGACCTGGCTTTGGGACCAGGCATTTGATTAATGGATAGTGGCAATTGGAAAGAAGAATTGGATACTGCGATGTTGATTCAGTCCCCAGACTTGGATTTGGTTTTATCTGGTGTGACTAATTTATTGTATTAATGAATTGTATTGTCGAAGGCTTTCATGGCCGGAATCACTGGGTTGTTGTAGTTTTTTTTTGGGCTATATGGCCATGTTCTAGAGGCATATTTCTCCTGAGGTTTCGCCTGCATCTATGACAAGCATCCTCAGAGGGAGTGAGGTCTGTTGGAACTAGGAAAAAGGGTTTATATATCTGTGGAAGGACCAGGGTGGGACAAAGGACTCTTGTCTGCTGAGCTAGGTGTTAATGTTTCAACTGACCATCTTGATTAGCATATAATGGCACAACAGAGAGGAAACAATCTGAAACATCTAATCACTTCTCACAAAAGATTGCCCCAGGCACTGCCAGGCCATCAAATGCTAATCAAGGTGGTCAGTTGAAACATTCACACCTAGCTCCAACAGACAAGAGTTCTTTGTCCCACCCTGGTCATTCCACAGATATATAAACCCACTTTTCTAGTTCCAACAGACCTCACTACCTCTGAGGATGCTTGCCATAGATGCAGGCGAAACGTCAGGAGAGAATGCCTCTAGAACATGGCCATATAGCCCGAAAAAACTACAACAGCCTATTAATGAATTGTTTTGGGAGGAGAAGGGTGGGGTAAAAGTGTATGAAATAAATAAATAATAAATTATGGCTGTTACTTTTTCCAGGAAAAGAGATGGTGGACTATATCTACCAGTACCTGACCAGCGTGAGGGAAAGGCGGGTGTCTCCTGATGTCCAGCCTGGCTACATGAGAGACCAGTTGCCTGATGAACCCCCCTTTGAGCCAGAGAGCTGGGACAGCATCTTCAAAGACATAGAGAAGATCATTATGCCCGGGGTAAGAATTCACTGTGGGATGCAATGGGTAGGCAATGGGCTTAGAATGGGAGCCCCAGGATATGTTTACAATATTCACTCTAGAGCAGTGTTTCTCAACCTGGGGGTCAGGACCCCTGGGGGTCATGAGGGGGTGTCAGAGGGGTCACCAAAGACCATCAGAAAACACAGCATTTTCTGTTGGTCATGGGGTTCTGTGTGGGAAGTTTGGCCCAATTCTATCATTGGTGGGGCTCAGAATGTTCTTTGATTGTAGGTGAACTATAAATTCCAGACCACCAGAAAACACAGTATTTTCTGTTGGTCATGGGGGTTCTGATGTGGGAAGTTTGGCCCAATTCTCTCATTGGTGGGGTTCAGAATGCTCTTTGATTATAGATGAACTATAAATCCCAGCAGCTACAACTTCCAAATGTCAAAGTCTATTTTCCCCAAACTCCACCAGTGTTCACATTTGGGCATATTGAGTATTCATGCCCAGTTTGGTCCAGATCAGTCATTGTTTTAGTCTACAGTGCTCTCTGGATGTAGGTGAACTACAGACTCCAAAACTCAAGGTCAATGCCCACCAAACCCTTCCAGTATTTTCTGTTGGTCATGGGAGTTCTGTGCCCAAGTTTGGTTCGATTCCATTGTTGGTGGAGTTCAGAATACTCTTGTAGGTTAACTATAAATGCCAGCAACTACAACTCCCAAAAGACAAAATCCCTCAACCCCTCCAGTGTTCAGATTTGGGTCTATCAGGTATTTGTGCCAAATTTGGTCCAGTGAATGAAAATACATCCTGCATATCAGATATTTACATTACGATTCATAACAGTAGCAAAATTCTAGTTATGATGTAGCAACGAAAATAATTTTATGGTCGGGGGTCACCATGACATGAGGAACCTTATTAAGGAGTCTCGGCATTAGGAAGGTTGAGAACCACTGCTCTAGATCATTCATTAATTCATAGTATTTTTGTCCTCTTTTATCCTCATAGTATTTTTATGTTTCAGCTCCAAACAGGGGTCTGTTTAGTTATGTGTTAGCTGGTGCTATTTCTCAAGGATGTGAACATACACAGAGTGATCCTCACTTCTACTATGAATACCAAACACATGTAGTAGCAAGTGAGAAATCAAGAAAAGAGAAAAGTTCGAGTTAGGATTTTTTTTTCAAGGACAAACTAAGCAATTAAGGACTCACACATTAAATGCTGTATAGCAGTGGTTTTCAATGTGTGCTCCGTGGAGTCCTGGGGGCTCTGCAAAGCGTCCTGAGGGGCTCTGCGCTTTCTTCCCCCCTTCCCCTCCTCCTCCCCTGTTGTTGTTGTTGTTGTTGTTGTTACAAAGGATGGGTGACCATCTTTTTTTTCTTTTTTTGCACTACCAACGAGATATGTGCATGAACAAATTCCATGCACACTACACATGTCTCACTGGTTAGTTAATACAAGCACAATAGACCCTGGGGTTGTTCCTATTATTATTATTATTATTATTATTATTATTATTATTATTATTATTATTATTAGCAGTACCCGGCTACGCATTGCTGTGGTCAACCTTCCCTTCCTCTTTCTCTCCTTCCTTCCTTCCTTCCTTCCTTCCTTCCTTCCTTCCTTCCTTCCTTCCTTTCCTTTCCTTTCCTTTCCTTTCCTTTCCTTTCCTTTCCTTTCCTTTCCTTTCCTTTCCTCTTTTTCCCTTTCTTCCTTCTCTACCTATTCTTGGACTGCAACTCCCAGCAGTCCTCCTGATCAATCTATCTACCTACTATCTATCTCTATCTAATCTATCTATCTGGAGGGTTGCTGGGAGTTGCAGTCCAGGAATAGGTAATTGGAAATATGCCGGGATTGGGATGCTCTCAAAGAAATCCAAGGAGAAGAAAACTTGCAGCTTGGAAGCAGGGCATTTGGATCCTCCTCCTCTCCTAAAGGGAATGGTCTAGGGGATGCTGGGAGCTGTAGTCCGGAATAGAGTACGGATATGCTATTGTGTGTTTTGTTTGCTGGCGGAGTCATTTTGCGCATGCATTGTAATGTAATTTTTGTGTTTTTTGGCTTTTTAAGTCCCTTCTGCTGCGTTTTTCAGTGTTTTTATGAGTGATGGTCACTTGTTGGCCTGAGAGGTGTCTTGTGTCCAAATTTGATGTCAATTCGTCCAGTGATCTTTGAGTTATGTTAATCTCACAAACGAACATTACATTTTTATTTATATAGATGATGATGATGATGATGATGATGATGATGATGATTACTACAAAGGCCAGATGTCCATCTATTGGAGGCACTTTCATTGAGCTTTTCCTGCATGGCTGAAGGGGGTTGGACTGGATCTGGCCCTGGCGTTGCTCCTGTTGTTGTTGTTGTTGTTGTTGTTGTTGTTACAAGAGCTGGGTGGCCATCTTTTGGAGGTACTTTGTGCTTTTCCTGCATGGCTGAAGGGGGTTGGACTGGATTTGGCCCTGGGGTTGCTCCTGTTGCTGTTGTTGTTGTTGTTGATGTTGTTGTTGTTGTTGTTATTACAAGGGCTGGGTGGTCATCTGTTGGAGGTACTTTGATTGTGCTTTTCCTGCATGGCTGAAGGGGGTTGGACTGGATCTGGCCCTGAGGTTGTTCCGATTGTTGTTGTTGTTCTTGATGATGATGATGTTGTTGTTGTTATTATTTCAAGGGCTGGGTGGTCATCTGTTGGAGATACTTTGGTTGTGCTTTTCCTGCATGGCTGAAGGGGGTTGGACTGGATCTGGCCCTGAGCTTGCTCCGTTGTTGTTGTTGTTGTTATTACAAGGGCTGGGTGGTCATCTGTTGGAGGTACTTTGATTGTGCTTTTCCTGCATGGCTGAAGGGGGTTGGACTGGATCTGGCCCTGAGGTTGTTCCGATTGTTGTTGTTGTTCTTGATGATGATGATGTTGTTGTTGTTATTATTTCAAGGGCTGGGTGGTCATCTGTTGGAGATACTTTGGTTGTGCTTTTCCTGCATGGCTGAAGGGGGTTGGACTGGATCTGGCCCTGAGGTTGTTCCGATTGTTGTTGTTGTTCTTGATGATGATGATGTTGTTGTTGTTATTATTTCAAGGGCTGGGTGGTCATCTGTTGGAGATACTTTGGTTGTGCTTTTCCTGCATGGCTGAAGGGGGTTGGACTGGATCTGGCCCTGAGCTTGCTCCTGTTGTTGTTGTTGATGATGATGATGATTATGTTGATGTTGATGTTGTTGTTATTATTACAAGGGCTGGGTGGTCATCTGTTGGAGATACTTTGGTTGTGCTTTTCCTGCATGGCTGAAGGGGGTTGGACTGGATCTGGCCCTGAGGTTGCTCCTGTTGTTGTTGTTGATGATGATGATGATTATGTTGATGTTGATGTTGTTGTTATTATTACAAGGGCTGGGTGGTCATCTGTTGGAGATACTTTGGTTGTGCTTTTCCTGCATGGCTGAAGGGGGTTGGACTGGATCTGGCCCTGAGGTTGCTCCTGTTGTTGTTGTTGATGATGATGATGATTATGTTGATGTTGATGTTGTTGTTATTATTACAAGGGCTGGGTGGTCATCTGTTGGAGGTACTTTGATTATGTTTTTCCTGCATGGCTGAAGGGGGTTGGACTGGATCTGGCCCTGAGGTTGCTCCTGTTGTTGTTGTTGATGATGATGATGATTATGTTGATGTTGATGTTGTTGTTATTATTACAAGGGCTGGGTGGTCATCTGTTGGAGGTACTTTGATTATGTTTTTCCTGCATGGCTGAAGGGGGTTGGACTGGATTTGGCCCTGGGGTTGCTCCTGTTGCTGTTGTTGTTGTTGATGATGTTGTTGTTGTTGTTGTTATTACAAGGGCTGGGTGGTCATCTGTTGGAGGTACTTTGATTGTGCTTTTCCTGCATGGCTGAAGGGGGTTGGACTGGATCTGGCCCTGAGGTTGTTCCGATTGTTGTTGTTGTTCTTGATGATGATGATGTTGTTGTTGTTATTATTTCAAGGGCTGGGTGGTCATCTGTTGGAGATACTTTGGTTGTGCTTTTCTTTGATTGTGCTTTTCCTGCATGGCTGTAAGGGGGTTGGACTTGATGGCCCCTGGGGTCTTCCACTCAAATTCTATTAAGTTTATATTGGTTAAAATTGTCCTTCATTTTAGATATTGTATTATTCTTTCTTTATTTCCTTTTTCTTTCTTTGCACTACCAACGAGATACGTGCAGTGTGCATATACTGAATATACTGTATATACTGAAGTATAAGCTGACCTGAATACAAGCCGAGGCACCTAATTTAACCACAAAAAAACGAGAAAACATATTGCCTCGAGTATAAGACGAGGATGGAAAATGCAGCAACTACTGGTAAATTCGAAAAATAAAAATAGATACCAAGAAAATTACATTAATTGAAGTGTCAGTAGATTTAATTAATTTTTTTAACATAAAACTGTAATTTAAGATAATAATAATAATAAGACTTTAATAAGATAAGACTGACCAACTCTGATAACTTATATACTCGAGTATAAACTGACCCGAATATAAGCCAGCCAGGACCCTGACTCAAGTTTAAGCCGAGGGGGGCTTTTTCAGCTCTAAAAAAGGGCTGAAAAACTTAGCTGATACTTGAATATATACGGTATATATGTGTGATTAAGTATTATATACATGTCAGACATTCTTTCAACATATTTGTGGATGGAATATGTAAATATGTTGGAGATGCAGACATTAAAATAATTACTTATAGCAGAATTATTAGCTAATGATGTTAGACTAGGTATGAACAAACTTTGGCCCTCCAGGTGTTTTGGACTCCAACTCCCACAATTCCTAACAGCCTCAGGCCTCTTATAAGAGGCCTGAGGCTGTTAGGAATTGTGGGAGTTGGAGTCCAAAACACCTGGAGGGCCAAAGTTTGCCCATGCCTGTGTTCGACAAAGTACGTCCAAGGTTGTGTATTATGGTGTATATAAAATTAGTTGCTCTCATCAATATATATATTTAAATCTACATTGACCATTTAAGGCAGTTCGAAGCTAGTTTCAAATTGTAGCTGCCAGACAAACTCTCACGAAATCGTGCGAAATGCGCACCAGGGCTCTGTGGTTTGTGTCCTCACTATCTGGGCCTCAAAGTGGTTCCAGGATTTCCTATGTAATCACCGGCAGAGGGAAACCACTTTATTCAATACTCGTCAGAAGTGACTTAAAGGCACAGAAGAACGTTTGCAACTTGCTGAGAAAAAAGGAAGTTTTGGCCAATTACTGTTTTGAAGGTACATAATATTGCTGAAAAATAGGAAGTTTTGGTCAATTACTAGGGATGGTGAAATGAGAGAGAAAGAGTGGGAAAAAATATGGATTTGCAAAACCTACAAACTGATATTCAGCATCACTGAGAAAAGAAAACACCCCTGATTCTCATAATAGTAGGCACCCAATTTCTAGGACGTAGCGTCCACCCATTTCTAGAAACAGGACTGCATTTAGTGCACAGAAAGGCACATTTAGGAAATCTCTTATAAACCTTGCTTGCACTCTATCTTACAGTTGAATTTTCACACCATATGGCTGCATCGAAGAGGAGTTTAGAGGCTGTTTTGGCATTCAAGATACTTGGACAAGTTCCAAATTATTGCCGATCCTAGTAACAAAGTAGATTATAACACCAATAACTATAATAATCATATTTTTCTCAACTCTGGCCCTGTGAAGTGAGGCAGCTGTTTCTGGTGGAAAGTGAGGAGGCATCAAGTTACGGCATGCAATGGGAATCTCACTTCCAGTCATTTTCTCACGCAGTTTGTGTCAAATTAACTCTTTCCGACCTTTAATTTCTTATTTTGCTTCTCCCCAGGTTGTCCATTGGCAAAGTCCACACATGCATGCCTACTTCCCAGCACTCAACTCCTGGCCTTCACTCTTGGGGGACATGTTGGCAGATGCCATCAACTGCCTGGGATTTACTTGGGTAAATTTAACTACTTTCCCAAAAGAACTACTAGGAATGATTATACCTGGCTGAATATGATGTAGTAGTATGAGCACTGGGCTACAATCCGAGAAGACCAGGGCTCGAATTCTCAGTTAACCATGGCAATCTACCTTTTCTTAGCCTGAAAGCATGACAATAGCAAATCCCTTTTGAATAACAACAACAACAACACTTTATTTATATTCCACCCTTCTCTCCAAGGGAACTGAGAGCGGATTACAGTATATAAGCAGAGCCAGGCAAACATTCAGTGCCTTATTACAATGATATACAATGAGACGCAAACACACAGACAAAGGCAAAGGCTTCTCCTTTCATTTCCGGCTCTGAACATATCTTGCCAAGAAAAGCATGTGATAGAAAGGAATTTCAGCCTAATTGGAGTTTTTACTTTGAAACCTGCAAGGCAGTTATTTTAGGCCCCATCTAAACTGTCATATAATCCAATTTCTGAATCCAGATTATCTGAACTGGATTATATGGCAGTGTAGACTCACATAATCCAGTTAAAAACAGATAATTTGGATTCAGAAACTGGATTATATGGCAGTGTAGATCCAGCCTTACTTAGAAGTAAGATTGTTACTGGATTGATTATTAATTATCTGTTTCCCTAAGTGAAAGGGACCCAAAAAGCATCTATACGAGTCCACATTTTTTAGAAATCAAAAATGTAATGTACAGCGCTATCAATGGAAACAAATTGAAGTTGCAGAATAATAACACTGCACTCATAACATCATTAAAACCTTTCCTGTCCTACCTTGGCACCATATTTCTGTGGTGATAGGATTGTTTTGCAAGGTTCTTAGCTTCCTCTGCCAAAGAATGCTTGTGTCTCACCAAACTACAACTCCTATGAATCCATATCATCGGTTCATGGTAGCTGAAGTGGTGTCAAACCGCATTTATTCTATAGTGTAGATGCTTCCTAGAACAGGAACACCGCCATTCAACAAGAAGATGAAAAGTTCATGTATTCTTCCCTGAGCTGAAATTAGTCCAGTAAAAAGGGATTCCTTTACAATGTTTATCTTTTCCCTTCCAGGCCTCTAGCCCTGCCTGCACAGAGCTAGAAATGAATGTGATGGACTGGCTGGCGCAAATGCTGGGTCTCCCACATACGTTCTTGCACTATCACCCTGACAGCAGAGGTGGAGGCATATTGCAGGTGAGTGGCACTAAAGGGGAAAAAGCTTGAATGCACAGATCTTCTAGCTCAGGCATGGTTAAACTTTGCTCCTTCAGGTGTTTTGGACTTCAATTCCCACAATTCCTAACAGCCTCAGGTGCCTTCTTTTTCTCCCTCAGCCACTTAAGGAGCAGGCAAGAGGAGGGAATGCTTGGAGGAGGAGGAAGGAATATTGTGTCCAATTCTGGGCATAATTATGCTGCCCCTCTATTCTGCCTTAGTTAGACCATACCTGGACACCACAATTGAAAGGAGATGTTGACAAGCTGGAATGTGTCCGGAGGAGGGCGACTAAAATGATCAAGGATGTGGAGAACAACCCCTATGGGGAGCGGCTTAAAGAGCTGGGCATGTTTAGCCTGAAGAAGAGAAGCCTGAGAGGAGACATGATAGCCAGGTATAAATATGTGAGAGGAAGTCATAGGGAGGAGGGAGCAAACTTGTTTTCTGCTGCCCTGGAGACTAAGACACAGAACAATGGCTTCAAACTACAAGAGAGGAGATTCCATCTGAACATTAGGAAGAATGTCCTGGCTGTGGGAGCCGTTCAGCAGTGGAACTCTCTGCCCCAGAGTGTGGTGGAGACTCCTTCTTTAGAAGCTTTTAAACAGAGGCTGGATGGCCATCTGCTAGGAGTGTTTTGCCAGGAGTATACCTTCTGCTATATATGAAACCTAGGGCATAAAACCTTGATTAAATGTACACCCTATCTAACATGGGAAGGGTCCTTGTTGTTGTTAGTGTCTTGGCAAATTGACCAAGGCTTAACTCTTATTATCCAGTCTGGTGTCCTTGTCCTTAGCAAAACTATAAGTTACTATCTTTTATGGGGGGGGGGTATCATATTCGACTTCAAAGCCAGCACTTTGAATTAGTTAACTGTGATATCCCTGTATGTTGCTAATTTCTCTCTCTTCTCTCCCACTCCCTCCTTTCCTCTGTCCAGAGTACTGTTAGCGAATCCACTTTGATCGCTCTCCTGGCAGCAAGGAAGAATAAAATTCTCGAAATGAAGGGATCTGAGCCAGACACCGAGGACTCTACTCTGAACTCTCGTTTTATTGCTTACGCTTCAGATCAGGTACGTCGCTGTGAGGTGTGTTTACTTTTGGATGTATGTGGGTCTTTTTGACCACCAACTCCAAAGGCTGACTGTGGTTTCTCCTTCTCCGCAGGCCCACTCCTCGGTTGAAAAGGCAGGCTTGATATCGCTGGTGAAGATGAGATTTCTGCCTGTAGATGAGAATTTTTCTTTGAGAGGCGAAACCCTGAAAAAAGCCATCGAAGAGGACAGAAGCCGTGGCCTGGTACCAATCTTTGTAAGTTTTGTACTCTCTGATTGAATAAAATGACCAGATGTCCACAATGGGATCTGCTTCAAAGCATTAATTTTGAAGATCATGGGATTATTAGATCAATAACAATATGCACAGCATAAGTAAACCGCATCCCTCCAGGTGTTTTGGACTTCCACAATTCCTAGGAATTGTGGGAGTTGAAGTCCAAAACACCTGGAGGGCCGAAGTTTGCCCATGCCTGTTCTATAGTCTGTAGGACTGGGTTGTGGCCCAGCTGCTTGTGAGTCAGCTGCATTAAAATCACTACTGGTCATGAGTTTGAAGCCAGCCCAGGTTGGAGTGAGCTTCCGGCCATTTGTCTAGCTTGCTGTCAACCTTTGCAGCCCGAAAGGCAGTTTTATTTTTTTTTTATTTACAATATTTATAGCCCGTTCTTCACAGCCATATGGCAACTCAAGGTGGGTTACAGATTGGCACAATTTGATGTCAGGCATTCATAGAAGTACCATTAAAAATAATCAACATTACAAAATAAAACATAAATAAAAACCATTAAAGCATATAATCATCGGTATCATCTTGTTAAAAACATTATCCAGTAACATCATCTGGCCATTCCATGTTCCTAATTTATAATTCTGTGTTATCTATTCCGCTGCATTCCCAAAAGCTTGCTCAAAGAACCAGGTCTTTACTTTTTTCGGAAAGTCAGGAGAGAGGGGGCTAATCTAATATCCCTGGGGAGGGGGTTCCARAGCCAGGGGGCCACCACTGAGAAGGTCCTGTCCTTCGTCTCTGCCAATTGCACTTGCGAGGCAYGCAGGATCAAGAGCAGGGCCTCCTCAGATGATCTTAAGCTTGTAGTTGGCTCATAGMAGGAGATACYTTCGGACAGYTAAGCTGGGCTGGAATCGTTTAGGACTTTATAGGCTAAAGCCAGCACATTGAATTGTGCTCGGTAGCAAATTGGCAGCCAATGGAGCTMTCGCATCTCTCAAGAACGAAATTTAGGTCCTGCTTATGCGGGGAGGCTTKTTTCAACACCATAAAAAAAATCTCCAGCAGCGTGCAAAAGAATGAGGAAGTATCCCATCGGTGTCACAAGTGGATGCTGAAGCGACAGCTCCCCCGGTGGCTGGAATTTGAAAAGCATACCCTCATGAAGCTGGAAAGTTAAATAGCCTCTGTCTATATATGTTGTGTGTCTATGGCATTGAATTTTTGCCATGTATGTGTGCATTATGARCRYCCCTGAATCCRCTGTGGGATGAGAAGGGCGGAATATAAATACTGTAAATAAATAAATAAATAAATAAATAAATAAATATAGAAGCTTGAATGATACCTACAACTTTCTGTAGAATTTTAATTTGTTGTTTACCAACACCTTGGGACATTTTGCTGATCAATACCTTTTATTTCCTTTCTTGAGGTTCGGTTGTATTTTCTTGACTCGTCTCTGGTTTTGTCTAGGTTTGCGCAACTCTGGGTACAACTGGCGTCTGTGCTTTCGACAGCCTTTCGGAGCTGGGTCCAATATGTAAGCAAATTTTCCAAACTCCAGTTCTCACAGGGACAGAAAGTGAGGCGAGATCTTCTGAAGAGGGGCACAGAAAAACAAACACCACAAGTTGTTAACTCTTCCCTATACTATCCAAGGCCCTGGTAGCGCAGTGGGTTAAAGCGCTGAGCTGCTGAGCTTGTTAACTGAAAAGTCACAGGCAGGGACATAGGCAGAAACACTTCGGGGGTGGGTGGGTTTGAAACCTTCCTCCTAGCTCATGTTGAAGCAAAGAGCACAGCAGGGGGTAGAGGAAGCTTCAATAGCCTGCAGCTCCGCCCTTGTCAACCACCTCCACCAAGTCTGGCCTCCCCACCCAACTGGCCTCCCCCCCCCCATCTTCGCTACATTGGCTATTGCTGCAAGTAATGGCAGTGTGAATAAATTGTCAATATTTGCTTGAGATAGTGCTTGCAGTCCTGGAGGGACTCTTAATTTTTTGCGTCTCATAGACTTCGCATGGGGATTTGGTTAACCACTTAAAATTCATGAAAAATTTTGGGGGGGGGGTTGAACCCCTAACACCCCCCCCAGGCCTGGTCACAGGTTCAAATCTGGGGAGCAGCATGAGCTTCCGCTGCCAGCCTCAGCTTCTGCCAACCTAGCAGTTCGAAAACATGCAAATGTGAGTAGATCAATAGGTACCGCTCCGGCGGGAAGGTAATGGCGCTCCATGCAGTCATGCTGGTCACATGACCTTGGAGGTTATTTATCATGTCATCAGCAACCATACCATTGTATTACATTTCTAACAGAAGAAAACAAACACATAGATTTTAAAAAAAACACACACACACAGATTTTGCAAACTTGGTAGTTGGTTAAATGTCTTTTGACCAGTATCTGGCCCCTTGGAGTGCCTCTGGTGTTGCCGCAAGAAGGTCCTCCATTGTGCATGTGGTGGGGCTCAGGTTGCATTGCAGCAGGTGGTCAGTGGTTTGCTCTTCTCTGCACTCGCATGCTGTGGATTCCACCCTGTAGCCCCATTTCTTGAGGTTGGCTCTGCATCTCATGGTGCCTGAGCACAGTCTGTTCAGCGCCTTCCAAGTTGCCCAGTCTTCTGTGTGCCCAGGGGGGAGTCTCTCATTTGGTATCAGCCATTGATTGAGGTTCTGCCACTTTTGGACTCTCGCTTGCTGAGGTGTTCCAGCGAGTGTCTCTGTAGATCTTAGAAAACTATTTCTTGATTTAAGTCGTTGATGTGCTGGCTGATACCCAAACAGGGGATGAACTGGAGATGTCTCTGCCTTGGTCTTTTCATTATTGGCTGCTACTTCCTGGCGGATGTCAGGTGGTGCAATACCGGCTAAGAAGTGTAATTTCTCCAGTGGTGTGGGGCGCAGACCCCCTGTGATAATACGGCACGTCTCATTAAGAGCCACATCTACTGTTTTAGCGTGGTGAGATGTGTTCCACACTGGGCATGCATACTCAGCAGCAGAGTAGCACAGCGCAAGGGCAGATGTCTTCACTAGCATAGCGCAAGGACAGATGTCTTCACTTGGAGGTGTCTATGGACAACGCCGGCTCTTCGGCTTAGAAATGGAGATGAGCACCACACCCCAGAGTCGGGCATGACTGGACTTCATGTCAGGGGAAAACCTTTACCTTTACCTTATGCTATCCAAAGCTAAAACATATATGTATTTGGCTAGAGTTCCCCTTAAAACATGTACGTGTTCTGATTGACATACAAATTCACCTTAAGAACAAACCTACAGAATCTATCTTGTTCATAACTTGGGGACTGCCTATATTTTAAGTGCACTATACATTGGAAAGGCAACAACAATACAACCTGCTGTGTGAAGATAGTGCAGCCCTAGGGTCAACTCTGTTCGCTGTGAAATTTGGTTTGAGTTTGTTTATCTTCATCAAAGCCATTGTCAATTCCATTCCAGGTTCTCAAGAGGGACTCTGGCTGCATGTCGATGCTGCGTATGCTGCAACAGCATTCCTCTGCCCGGAATTCAGGGTGTTTCTGGAGGGAATCGAACATGCCGATTCTTTCGCTTTCAACCCTTCCAAGTGGATGATGGTTCACTTTGACTGCACCGCATTCTGGTAAGCGTGGCACAAAAGATCAGCCGAGTATTTACGCATATGATGTTTAACCTCTGTGGAATGCTTCCTCTCTATTATTTCTTCCTCTTTTCTAGGGTCAAGGACAAATACAAGCTGCAGCAAACATTCAGTGTTAATCCCCTCTACCTCAGACATCCCAATTCAGGTTTAGCTACTGATTTCATGGTGAGTCTAATGATTATAAATGAGGGCTAAATTAGATCAGACAGCCAAGTTTTAGGTCTCTTTAGACCAGCGATTCTCAACCTTCCTAATGCTGTGACCCCTTAATACAGTTCCTCATGTTGTGGTGACGCCCAACCGTAACATTATTTTCCTTGTATGTCATAACTATAATTTTATTAAGAATCATAATGTAAATATCTGATATGCAGGATGTGTTTTCATTCACTGGACCAAATTTGGCACAAATACCCAATATGTCCAAATTTGAATACTGGTGCAGTGGAAGGGAAGGATTGATTTTGTCATTTGGGAGTTGTAGTTGCTAGGATTTATAGTTCACCTACAATCAAAGAGCATTCTTAACTCCGCCAATGATGGAATTGAACAAAACTTGGCACACAGAACTCCCATGGCCAACAGAAAATGTTGGTGGACATTGACCTTGAGTTTTGGAGTTGTAGTTCACCTGCATCCAGAGAGCACTGTGGACTCAAATAATGATGGATCTGAACCAAACTTGGCACAAATACTCAATATGCTGAAATGTGAACACTGGTTGAGTTTAGGGAAAATAGACCTTGATATTTGGGAGTTGTAGTTGCTGGGATTTATAGTTCACCTACAATCAAAGAGCATTCTGAACCCCACCAACGATGGAATTGAACCAAACTTGGCACACAGTTCTCCCATGACCAACAGAAAATACTGGGTTTGGTGGGCAGTGTCCTTTGGTTTTGGAGTTGCAGTTCACCTACATCCAGAGAGCACTGTGGACTCAAATAATGATGGATCTGGACCAAACTTGGCACGAATACTCAATATGCCCAAATGTGAACACTGGTGGAGTTTGGGGAAAATAGACCTTGACATTTGGGAGTTGTAGTTGTTGGGATGTATAGTTCACCTATAATCAAAGAGCATTCTGAACCCCACCAATGAAAAAATTGGCGCAAATTTCCCACACAGAACCCCCATGCCCAACGGAAAACACTGTGTTTTCTGATTGTCTTTGGCGACCCCTCTGACACCACACTTATGACCCCCCCAGGTTGAGAAACACTGCTTTAGCCTTAGTGGGATGGCGATAGTGGTGTGTGTTTTAGATGGAAACACAAAGCATTGGAGGTATAACAAGAATTAAGAAAAAACATATTTTTCACAACCATCTCCAGGTTCATTGTAAACATTATCAACAACAAGCCTTCCAAATGAGGGAATACAGAGATTGCATTGCTGATTTTCGGGGTGCTAGTGGGCCAGAATTGAACAGTCCCTGCTTTACAGACTTCTTAACTTAACTGGCAGGTTGCAGTGTCCACCTTTTGACTAACCCATCTATGGTTTTGATTTACAGCACTGGCAAATCCCACTCAGCCGAAGGTTTCGTTCTTTGAAACTCTGGTTTGTGATTCGTTCGTTTGGTGTGAAAAAGCTCCAAGACCATGTCAGACATGTAGGTGAATGAATGGCTCATTGTTTAGCTCCGAAAGAAACTGAAGTACACAGCAGAACTGAGCGTGCTGGCTGAGGGTTGTTGGGTGATGGAGTTAATATTCCAATCTGTCAAAGTTCTAATCTGAAACAACAGAGGGGGAAAAGGAAGGGGACTGAGGCTGTTAGGAATTGTGGGAGTTGAAGTCCAAAACACCTGGAGGGCCCAAGTTTGCCCATGCCTGGTATAGAGTGTTATATAGTGTCATGCTCTGAAGATAGTTGGGGAACTCTTTCATTTCAGACAGTGGTTTTATTCTAATTTGGTATGCTATTTGTTTTTGTAATACTCTACTGGGAATATATCCAATTATTATTATTTTAACCACAGGGCACGGAGATGGCCAAATATTTTGAGTCATTGGTTAGGACTGACGCTCTGTTTGAGATTCCAGCCAAGAGACACCTGGGACTGGTTGTGTTTCGTTTAAAGGTAAAGCTAAAAGGTTTCTCTGATATTTAATAGTTGCTCTACATCATAAACATAAAGAAAGAGCATAAGAGATAGTGTTACCATATCAGCCAAGATGGGGTGTAACTTTCCACTCATGTTAGTGAACAGCAACAGGAAATTTTTATTTATTTACAGTATTTATATTCCACCCTTCTCACCTTGCAGGGGACTCAGGGCAGATTACAATGCACAAATACATGGCAAACATTCAATGTAATTATACATACAACATATGTAGACAGATAGAGAGGCATTTTAACATTCCAGCTTTCTGGCTTCATGAGGATATGCTCAATTTCAGCCACGGGAGAGCCACCGCTTCACCGTCCACTTGTGACACTGAGTCCTTGATGGAGTACTTTCTCATTCTTACGCACACTGCTGGGAGGTTTTTTTGGTGTCGTAAATTAGTTAAATTAATCTCCCCACATAAAGCGGTACCTACATTTCCTACTTGACAGATGCAACTGTCTTTTAGGCTACATAGGTCAACAGCAACCTAGACTATTAATGGTCAGGAGCTCACTCCAACCCGAGCTGGCTTCAAACCCATGACCTCTTGGCTACTAACTAGCAGCTGGCTACTAACTAGCTGTGCCACAGCCCAATCCATACATGTCTGCACAATGCACATCCCTGCAAAACCTTGAACAAGAGCATGGACCACTAGAATATATAGTTGCACACTGTTTTTTTTATAGTAGAGGTGGTATGCAACAATCCTGACTAGGAGCTATTGATTTATCTAAGGCCTGCCAAGTTGGCAGGTTTCACTATTTATATCAGGGGTCCTCAAACTAAGGCCCGGGGGCCAAATACGGCCCTACAAGGTCATTTACCTGGCCCTCGCTCAGGGTCAACCTAAGTCTGAAACTACTTGAAAGCACACAACAACAACAACAATAACAATAATCCTATCTCATCACCCAAAAGCAGGCCCACACTTCCCATTGAAATACTAATAAGTTTATATTTGTTAAAATTGTTCTTCATTTTAATTATGGTATTGTTTTTCAGTGTTTTTGCACTACTAATAAGATATGTGTAGTGTGCATAGGAATTCATTCATGTTTACTTCAAATTATAATCCGGCCCTCCAACAGTTTGAGGGACGGTGACCTGGCGCTCTGTTTAAAAAGTTTGAGGACCCCTGATTTATATTGTACATCAGTGTCATTAGAAAAATCAAGATTTAGTAGGCAATGTGCTTTTAAATAGGGTTAGAAGATATTCTTGGACCAACCTTAACAGACTGTGGGAGGAACCAGGACCAGTAAGTGTTTGCCTCTTTCAAACATCAAATTTGTATAAAATATGCATCTTTTTTTAAAAAACAGGGTCCCAACTGGATGACAGAAAAAGTCTTAAAAGATTTAAACAATTCAGGGAAGCTCTTCGTTATTCCTGCAATGCTTGGAAAGAAGTTAATCATTCGCTTCACTGTAACGTCTCAGTTTACAACCCAAGAGGACATCCAGAAGGACTGGTCCCTCATCCAAGAGGCTGCAGCGAAAGTTGCTAACCTGCAATGTGTGCCGAGGCCTGTTGGCATCTCAGAGGAAGAGGAGCACATCCTCAACATGATCACCAGCCTCAGTCCTAAACCAGTCGGTGTCCCTTCTCCTTTTTTCTCCGAGAAAGAAGACTGCAAACTCTCTCTAACCAAAATAACCGTCCAGCCTCGAAGAAGCTCTTCCAGTTTTCCATCATGGCTCACTAATGAAGATCTACCAGTGCTTGAGGACCCAAACTTAGACAATTGTTTCAAAGAAGAGAGCCTGAATGCAACCAGCCAGAAGGTCTCCTCCAGCTTATCTGTCCAAAACAAGAAAAAGACGGCTCGCTCCTTCAGTGTGCCAATGGCCGACGTTGGAGAGTCAAGCCATCCCAAGGCAACAGGCTTCGACGGCTCTGGGAAGGCGGGGACTTGCATCAGCGAGAAATTCCTTTCCAAGCTGCCCAAAGAGGTGCTGATGCTGAAGAAAAGTGACCTCAAGAAACGGCTGAAATTTTACAGTGTGCCCAGTTTTCCAGAATGTAACATCCAGTGTGGCCTCCAGCTGCCATGTTGCCCGTTGCAGGCCATTGTTTAGGAAGCCATCACCTTTGACAAGAAAGTGAGAACCAAAGTCTGCCCATTCTCATGCAATACAGGAATCTATGCCCCTATTCTATATATAAATATATATTGTATAATTAAATAATATTATTTGTTTCAGAAGACGGCTATTTTTTTTAACTTGTAAATTGAAAAAAAAACCCACTTAAAATATAAATAAACTATTTAATATTGCTGTCAGGCGCTCTGACTGTTCACATCTCATTCTTTTCCTGTTTATTGTCAATTGTATGTATATTATTATGGTTAAACCGCTGAGTTGCTAAATTTGTTGACCGAAAGGTCACAGGTTTAAATCCAGGGAGGGGTGTGAGCTTCTGCTGTCAGCCCCAGAGCCGTCAAAGCCTGTTGCCTTGGGATGGCTTGACTCTCCAACGTCGGCCATTGGCTCTCACAGTCAGGAAGTTCTTCCTCATGTTCTTAAGGAGATTCCATTTGAACATGAGGAAGAACTTCCTGACTGTAAGAGCTGTTCAGCAGTGGAACTCTCTGCCCTGGAGTGTGGTGAAGGCTCCTTCTTTGGAAGCTTTTAAACAGAGGCTGGATGGTCATATGTCAGGGGTGATTTGAATGCAATATTCCTGCTTCTTGGCAGAATGGGATTGGACTGGATGGCCCATGAGGTCTCTTCCAACTCTTTGATTCTATGATTCTATGATTCTGCCAATCTAGCAGTTCGAAAACATGCAAATGTGAGTAGATCAATAGATACTGATTTGGCAGGAAGATTTTTTTTTGTCATGTCAAGAGCAACTTGAGTTTACATTTCAGTTCTTATTAGCAACTTTGAATTATAATCCAGCATGTGGTAGTTAGTCATTGAAGGCCTCGGTCTTTTAGAATTGAGCCTCTGCTGTTAGCCCCAGCTTCTGCCATCCTAACAGTTCAAAAACATGCAAATGTGAGTAGATCAATAGGTACCGCTTCAGCGGGAAGGCACTTTTTTTGTCGTGTCAAGAGTGACTTGAGTTTACTTTTCAGTTCTTACTAGCAACTTTTAATTATAGTCCAGCAAGTGGGTAGTTAGTCATTGCAGGCCTTGGTGTTTTAGAATTGAGCTTTTGCTGTCAGCTCCAGCTTCTGCCAACCTAGCAGTTCAAAAATATGCAAATGTGAGTAGATCAATAGATACCGCTTCGGTGGGAAGGTGGTTTTTGGCGTGACAAGAGTGACTTGAGAAACTGCAAGTCGCTTCTGGTGTGAGAGAATTGGCCATTTGCAAGGACGTTGCCCAGGGGACGCCCGAATGTAATGCCTGGAGGTAACGGCTCTCCATGCAGTCATGCCAGCCACATGACCTTGGAGGTGTCTATGGACAACGCCGGCTCTTTGGCTTACAAATGGAGATGATCACCAACCCCCAGAGTCAGACACGACTGGACTTAATGTCAGGGGAAAATCTTTATCTTTACCTTTATGTATATTATTATGGATTAGTACAGATATGCACTAGGGGCCAGAACCTAGGGGTTCCTGAGCCCAAAGTTGATCCCTTAAAAGAGTGGTTGTCTTTAGTGAGACCTTAATACCATGTGGTACTACAGCCAAAGAATGGGTTTATATGTACGAAAAAAGATGCATTTTTTTTTAAAAAAACAGTCTTAATACTGGCATATTTTTGTCCTCCTTTTTTGAATTGTTCCTTTTGAACTAGTAAGATACTAAGGACACTACTGTACAAACTTTAGAGTCATAAAAACATAGAATCATAGAGTTGGAAGAGACCTCATGTGCCATCCAGTCCAACCCCCTGCCTAGAAGCAGGAAAATCACATTCAAAGCACCCCCGACAGATGACCATCCAGGCTCTGTTTAAAAGCCTCCAAAGAAGAAGTCTCCACCACACTCCGGGGCAGAGAGTTCCCCTGCTGAACAGCTCTCACAGTCAGGAAGTTCTTCCTCATGTTCAGATGGAATCTCCTTTCTTGTAGTTTGAAGCCATTGCTCCATTGCGTCCTAGTCTCCAGGGCGGCAGAAAACTAGCTTGCTCCCTCCTCCCTATGACTTCCTCTCACATATTTATACATGGCCCTCATCATGTCTCCTCTCAGCCTTCTCTTCTGAAGCTTAAAGATGCCCAGTTCTTTCAGCCGCTCCTCATAGGGCTTGTTCTCCAGACCCTTGATCATTTTAGTCGCCCTCCTCTGGACACATTCTAGCTTGTCAGTATCTCCTAGAAGACCTAGACATTCCTAGAGTAAAAATAGCAATTTCTTTATTCATTTTTGCTGCGCTTTCATGGGGCTCATTTCCTCCTAAACCTAGCTAATGTGGAGAAATGATGCTGGGACCTTCCACACAGCCCTATATCCCAGAATATCAAGGCAGAAAATCCCACATTATTTGAGTGTGGACTCGGATAACCCAAAGCAGATATTGTGGGATTTTCTTCCTTGATATTCTGGGATATAGGGCTGAAGCAAAAACAACCGCAATCCTTGAATCACCCGAAAAACTTGCAGAATTGTACTGTGCCAGGAAATTCTTTAGTCTAAAGTCCACTTCTTTAGAGGCATTTGCTTTTTTGCTGCATTCGTAGCGGCACCGGCTGCTTTCCTGGAAGGGTGGCTGCACATCTCCACGGTAGGAAATAATTCATAAAACTAACCTTTGGATTTTAGGAAGTCTTCAGACCCAACAGCAAGGTATGCTTTCTCTGCAGTTTTTTCCTCCACCACATGGATGTGTTTAAGGTATGACATCTCTGATCAGGAAAGAGAAACAAAAGTTTAAAATTCTATCTGGGGAAAAAAGAAAAGAAAAATGGCACTTGCTCCCTAGGGTAGAGCTTATTAATTAATTAATTAATTAATTAATTATATATTTAGAACATTTGTGTCCCGTCCTATTCTCGACCTCCAAAGAGGGACTCAGGGCGGCTTCCAACAATAAAAAAACACCAATAAAACACACAATTACATAAATTTATAATAAATTTACCTTTAAAAATCAGTCCAAAACATGTGATCCATACAATCTCATCTAAGCCGATAAAAACCGTCTATTCTGTGAACACTTGCTCCCACAGCCAAGTCTTAAGTGTCTCGCGAAAAGTCAGGAGGGGAGGGGCACATCTAACCTCTTTAGAGAGGGAGTTCTATAGCCGAGGGGCCACCATGGAGAAGGCCCTGTCTCGTCCCCACCAAACACAACTGTGATAGTGACGGGACTGAGAGCAGGGCCTCCCCAGATGGTGTTGATGGTTCATAGCTTGCCAAACCTTTCCTGTTGGTGAGCTCCCGTCTGTCAGCTCTAGCTTGTGGGGACATGAGAGAAGCCTCCCAGCAGGATGGTAACACATTTGGCCATCCCCTGGGCAACATCTACAAAGCCCTAAACGGTTTGGGACCCGCCTACCTGCGTGACCGCATCTCCATATATGAACCCACGTGTTCCCTTCGATCATCTGGAGAGGCCCTGCTCACGATCCCACCTGCATCACAGGCGCGTCTAGTGGGGACGAGGGAGAGGGCCTTCTCTGTGGTGGCCCCCCGACTCTGGAACTCTCTCCCCAAGGACATCAGACAAGCCCCAACGCTGGCTGTCTTTAGGAAGAGCCTGAAGACCTGGCTGTTCCAGTGTGCCTTTGCAGAATAGGAAACTCCTGGCATCAAGTCCCAAATGCACTTTGTTAGAGATTCAGGATTATCTGCACATTGCACCTACCTCCAAATACTTCTACATATCACTTGTCAAGTCCAGCACTTTTAAATTTTGTCTTTTACACTTGGCCCGGCCCTTGGTTTTAAATGCGTCGCTGTGTCATTGTTTTTTTATTGTTCTAATGCTTTGCTTGATGTTTTTATTTGCTTATGACTTTATTGTGTATGTGTATGTTATTGTTGTTGGCGGGGTATAAATAAAGTTAATATATAATATAATATAATATCTCTGTAGATGGCCAATTCTCTCACACCAGAAGCAACTTGCAGTATATTCTCAAGTCGCTTCTGACATGATTAAAAAAAACACCTTTTTTAGATATGCATAATTTCGTAACACAGTAATTCCGGTTTCCCAGCAAACTAGAGGTTAAACCTGGCACGGGCAAACTTCAGCCCTCCAGGTGTTTTGGACTTCAACTCCCACAATTCCGAACAGCTTCAGGCCCCTTCCTTCCCACCTTCAGCCCCTTCATAGAATCATAGAATCCAAGAGTTGGAAGAGACCTCCTGGGCCATCCAGTCCAACCCCATTCTGCCAAGAAGCAGGAATATTGCATTCAAAGCACCCCTGACAGATGGCCATCCAGCCTCTGTTTAAAAGCTTCCAAAGAAGGAGCCTCCACCACACTCCGGGGCAGAGAGTTCCACTGCTGAACGGTTCTCACAGTCAGGAAGTTCTTCCTCATGTTCAGATGGAATCTCCTCTCTTGTAGTTTGAAGCCATTGTTCCTTATTTTATATAGACCCCGCTTTTATATCCCACATGCTTTGACTGATTTAAAACAAATCAAATATAAGAGATACAGGCACAAACATAAATTGTGATAACAAAATATATGGAAACACAAAATGTCTCTTGAAAGACTATTTTTAAAAAAATATATGATCTATTGCTGATTTAACATAGACTCGGAGGCTTACGTTAATGTGATAATGTAATGGGGGTAATTCTCTATGCTAAAAGGAGGGTCACCCATTCTTTAGCTTCTCAATGTAAAGAGGTATGACCTGTCTATTGGCCACCCAGTAGGTTTCCAAGGCCAATTTGGGATTTGGACATTATAGTCTCAAAAGGTGGATATATGAGTATTGGAAGCTGTCGGCCACTAGAGTGCAGAAGAGCCCCACCATAAAATCACTTAGTTTTAGGCCAGTGGTTCTCAATGCTGCGATCCTTAATACAGTTCCTTAATACAGTTTGGGGAAAATAGACCTTGACATTTGGGAGTTGTAGTTGCTGGGATTTATAGTTCACCTACAACCAAAGAGCATTCTGAACTCTACCAATGATAGAATTGGACCAAACTTGGTA